CACCACTATAACTACCTCATTCGGCTTGAACTTGGACACTTTGTTTTCGACTTTGACCTCCTCCTTTTCCTGCAACTTGTTTCTCAGCAGATTAGTAGTAACCTATTGATCTTTATGTAAAGATCACTTCTCACAGTAAAACAACCTCACCTTGCTATCACTTCCAAACTTCCTCTTTGCCAGCAACGCTCCGAAACCACTGCTTTGTTTTTCTAAACCATCCACACAGACCTAACACATATATTCTCATTCATTTTGTGCCTTATATTATGAGAAAATTAAAAGGCACAAATAAATATAGAGAAATTTAAAAAAATGCCACTTTTCAAATACCATTTTACAAAAAAGCCACACTTTTGAAATCTTTACAAAAATGCCACTTTTTCAAAATTATATTTTCTTTATATTATTTATGTTTGGGTTAATTATGTTCTATTAGGATTTAGTTTTGAGTGTTTAGAGGGTTTTAGGTGTCAAAACATTTTTTAGGGTTTAGAATTTTAAGATATATGCTTTATAAATCTATAATTAGTGCCATTTTTGTAAATAGACACCCCTAAGTGGCATTCTTGCAAATGTGCACACAAAAAGTAACATTTTTGTAATTGCCCCATAAATATATCTAAGCTTCACCTTTCCTGAGCCAAACAAGCATCTCCTGCTGACACCACCAATGTTACTTTCAACCTGCAAAAACTTCTTCAAACTCGGAGAAGACGCTACAGCTTCTTTGCTTGTATCCTCAATGGTAGTTTCGATATTCTTCTCTAAGACCTAAATGTAGAAAAGCCATAGGGTAAAGGAAAAAATTCACTATAAACATTAGCTAGTGCATGCAATTAAGCAGTCGTGACTCCTGGCTATTAGGAAAAATCTCAAGCTTACACAACAGTAAAACTACTTGAAATTTGGAGCACCAATCGACCCTTGTAAATTACTCTTTTAAGTTATCGTTTTCTGTGCCAGTTCACATGCTATTGGACGGTACAAGATTTATAGACTTGAACCTGGTTTCCATAGGACCTTATCAATTCAATCAAGCAAACCTCATACATTATCAATGCTAATTGCTCTTCACTAAGCACATACTCCCAACTGAAACCTTACAGTTAAACAATACATATTTTTCATAACAACTATACTCTTACGCCAATCATTGCTAAAACAACCCCAGGATAGAAAGGCAAGCCCACCATGCTATTTGTGTTAATAAATAAACAGAAAGAAAACCAAAAGGAGTTGTAATAATATTTAAAAACATAATATATCTTACGGTTCCATGACGCCACTCCTCTAAAGATTGAACAACTGGCTCGAATGCCGCTGCATTTTGCATTGATCGTCTGATGACACTGACCACCGAGTCAATATTACGTTCGATGTAAAGATGCTTTGACTTCAACAACCGTCGCAACTTGCCAACATTAATTGGCATCTCCTTAGCTATTATTTAATAAAACGAATTAGACCAAGTTAGGAACCACCTAAAAATCTCCAAGAACCTGGATATGGAAAGTAAATATCTACCTATTTCAAAAAGAGTTTTATTTGGCAATACATAACCGGTGCTCTCATCATCTGCACGTGCAATCAGATCCCGCCATTCACAAAGCCCCTGCAAGGCAGCAACTACTATGAAAGCTCCATATGGTAACTTAAAAAGACAGATGAAGGATGCTTTGGTTCTCACACAAGTTAGAACATACCGCAACAATGGAAAGTTGAACCGCATTGAAATTAGCTGCCCGAACCCTAACAAAATGCCCGAAATGGAAACACATACTAGAGATTAGTCTAGGTTACTAATGCATGCATAAGTAATAGAGATTTTGCTCTAACCATATAAAGCAAGAAAACGATTGACCGGATAACTAAAGAACATGCGCACAACGCAACAAAAAAAGTACAGCATATATTTTATTTCATGAGGGGGACAATAAGCAACAAACCCATAAAGGTTAAGATATGAATTCCCAGTCAAAAGCTCTTTCTCATATAGTTGCGTGCACACATCATAACTGCGCTTGTAAACCTGCAGCAATGGTAATTTCGTCAATATAATTATCCAGAAAATTGAATAAGAATAAGGATACACCCGCTGGATGCAACAGAATATATAAGATGTTAGATATAAATGAGTTGATGTATGATCTTTACGTCGCCCATTCCAGGAAAAAAAAAAAGGCCACAACCATGTGATAAACCATAGCAAGTATATGTGACAAAGAGAGATCATAGAAAACATAAGCAAGCTAAAGCAAAGACTCAGAATGAACAATTACTTTGGTACATTGGATTTACAATGGTTGTAACATATACAAACACTTGACTCATTGGTTTTTACATCTAAATGTCAGCTAGACTGGTGTAAACAGAATAGGCATAAGAAAAACTGGGGATTGTGGGCACAGGGCAGAGAGTGGGATCCATATCTTTACCCAAAACATCTGGTACACATTTTAGGTGTGCAAAGGAAGTAAGAAAACCAAAAGAATTATACCTAAGAACAACATTACACATCAGAAATGCCTCCTAAATGTACCCTTAAAGTACAATCTAAAAAGGAAGACCACAGCCTCATTTGGTCACTCATTTCCAGTGTGGGTGGCTCTTTAATCACTTAATGTAAGCTTAATCCACATTAAGCCCACATAATTTTTTCTCCAAACCATGCTAAAGTCCAGGTTTATACGACACATAAAAACTGTAGGATTCAACCAATAGGAAGCAATAACTAAGACCAAACAATAAATTTCTTACACAAACACACACAGGTAAAAAGTTCTTGTGAATAGCTAATAATTATTACCTCTATCAGAGGAGAGTCAGATTGGTCGACTTCCTTTGCCATTTTATGCAAATCTATTCTCATTAAATCGTAAATGTACAAAAGATAATGTGTATCTTCTCTAGCATATCTGCCATCATATCCAAAAGAGTGAGCTCCACTTAACCAGTGTTAAACAGCAATGAAGAGAGAGAATATATCAACCTTGTCATTACATCTGGGAGGGGTCGTATTCTCCAATCTGCATTTTGGTATCTGCAGCCAATTAACAAAATAAACTATGAACGACAAGTGAACAGATGAGAGTGCAAAAGAACAAAAGTTAAACAAGATCGAATTGTTATGCACTGTTTGTTTGCAGCAACTCCACAATAATGCTTCAGAAGAAATTCCAGACTATTTCTGTCCAGTTTTAGCACCCTTGAAGCCTGAAAGATTTAAGGGAATCAAAATTACCAACGAAAGACTTACAGAAAAATTAGTACTTCTTAAGAGTATTTAAGAACATGGGA